ATTTGTGTGAAATTGGCAAAATTGCTAAATTCTGACCACTTTATTGGATAGTTAAAATCAGTAAATGGGTGGTTTCTTGTACTCATTCGATAGAAAAAAAACAGAGTTCTAGCGAAATAATTATGATTTTTGTTGATTAGTACACTGGAATTGGCCGAAAATAGGGCTCAAAGTGGGCAAAATCACCGATGCGTAAACATCGTCGAGACCGCTAACTTCGTGAGAGCATAATTCCGTAGGTTTTCCATCAAATCTCATAGTTTTGGTGTCGTTGTGATCGGGAAAAGATTCTCTATCTTTTCGTAAGAAAAAATAATTTTTTTTTTTTTTTTGAAATTTTGGCGACCCTAGAACAAGTCTCTGAGAGGGCCTGGCGACCCCCAAAGGGTTAAAGTGCAGGCATTGTACTTCCCATTTGTAGGACTCAAGTCTGGCTAACTGGCTTCCCTGAATCCCTTCACAAAGTATTACCCTGCTCACACTCCAACAGCTTGTCAAGTCCCAAAAACCATTCATCTCCACTACTATCTGACACGCTCATGCACACTTGCTGGAAGTTGTGGCCCCTTTCCCTCAAAACCTTTACCCCCTCCCTCCAACCTTTTCGAGGACGACCCCTACCCCGCCTTCCTTCACCTACAGATTTATACACTCTCCATGTCATTCTACTTTGATCCATTCTCTCAAAATGACCAAACCACCTCAACAACCCCTCTTCAGCCCTCTGAATAATACTTTTAGTAACTCCACACCTTCTAATTTCCACACTATGAATTCTCTGCATAATATTTACACACATTACCCTTAGACAGGACATCTCCACTGCCTACAACCGCCTCCTCGCTGCAGTATTTACACCCCAAGCTTCACACTCATATAAAAGTGTTGGTACCACTATACTCTCGTATATTCCCTTCTTTGCCTCCATGGATAACCTTTTTTTTTTTTTTTTTTTTTTTTTTTTTTTTTTTTTTTTTTTTTTTTTTTTTTTTTTTTTTTGTCCCCACAGGTACCCCAATGCACCACTCACCTTTTTTTCTTCATCATTTCTATGGTTAACCTCATCCTTCATAAACCCATCCACTGACAAGTCAACCCCCTAATATCTGAAAATATTCAGTAATTATTTATCTATTATACATTCATATTTGACTTTATAGGTAGTAGGTTGGTAGACAGCAACCACCCAGGGAGGTACTACCGTCCTGCCAAGTGAGTGTAAAACGAAGCCTGTGATTGTTTTACATGATGGTAGGATTGCTGATGTCTTTTGTCTGTCTCATAAATATGCAAGATTACAGGCATGTCTTGCTACTTCTACTTACACTTAGGTCACACTACACATACATGTACACATTTATTTATACACACTCATCTGAGTTTTCTTTGATTTTATCTTAATAGTTCTTGGTCTTATTAATTTTCCTTTTATATCCATGGGGAAGTGGAATAAGAATCTTTCCTCCGTAAGCCATGCGTGTTGTAAAAGTCAACTAAAATGCCGGGAACAATGGGCTAGTAACCCCTTTTCCTGTAAAGATTACTAAAAAAGAATAAGAAGAAGAAAATTGTCAAAGTGGAAGTCTGAATGTGCGTGGATGTTGTGCAGATGATAAGAAAGAGATGATTGTGGATGTTATGAATGAGAAGAGCTGGATGTCCTGGCTTTAAGTGAAACAAAGCTGAAGGGGGTGGGAGAGTTTCAGTGGAGAGGAATAAATGGGATTAGGTCAGGGGTTTCAAATAGAGTTAGAGCTAAAGAAGGAGTAGCAATAATGTTGAAGGATAAGCTATGGCAGGAAAAGAGGGACTATAAATGTATTAATTCAAGGATTATGTGGAGTAAAATAAAGATTGGATGTGAAAAGTGGGTTATAATAAGCGTGTATGCACCTGGAGAAGAGAGAAGTGTAGAGGAGAGAGAGAGATTTTGGGAAATGTTGAGTGAATGCGTGGGAGTTTTGAATCAAGTGTGAGAGTAATGGTGGTTGGGGATTTTAATGCTAAAGTGGGTAAAAATGTTATGGAGGGAGTAGTAGGTAAATTTGGGGTGCCAGGGGTAAATGTAAATGGGAGCCTTTAATTGAGCTATGTGTAGAAAGAAATTTGGTAATAAGTAATACATATTTTATGAAAAAGAGGATAAATAAATATACAAGGTATGATGTAGCACGTAATGAAAGTAGTTTATTAGATTATGTATTGGTGGATAAAAGGTTGATGGGTAGGCTCCAGGATGTACATGTTTATAGAGGGGCAACTGATATATCGGATCATTATTTAGTTGTAGCTACAGTTAGAGTAAGAGGTAGATGGGAAAAGAGGAAGGTGGCAACAACAAGTAAGAGGAAGTGAAAGTGTATAAACTAAGGGAGGAGGAAGTTCGGGTGAGATATAAGCGACTATTGGCAGAAAGGTGGGCTAGTGCAAAGATGAGTAGTGGGGGGTTGAAGAGGGTTGGAATAGTTTTAAAAATGCAGTATTAGAATGTGGGGCAGAAGTTTGTGGTTATAGGAGGGTGTGGGGCAGGAGGAAAGAGGAGTGATTGGTGGAATGATGAAGTAAAGGGTGTGATAAAAGAGAAAAAGGTAGCTTATGAGAGGTTTTACAAAGCAGAAGTGTTATAAGAAGAGCAGAGTATATGGAGAGTAAAAGAAAGGTAAAGAGAGTGGTGAGAGAGTGCAAAAGGAGAGCAGATGATAGAGTGGGAGAGGCACTGTCAAGAAATTTTAATGAAAATAAGAAAAAATTTTGGAGTGAGTTAAACAAGTTAAGAAAGCCTAGGGAAAATATGGATTTGTCAGTTAAAAACAGAGTAGGGGAGTTAGTAGATGGGGAGATGGAGGTATTGGGTAGATGGCGAGAATATTTGAGGAACTTTTAAATGTTAAGGAAGAAACAGAGGCAGTAATTTCATGCACTGGTCAGGGAGGTATACCATCTTTTAGGAGTGAAGAAGAGCAGAATGTAAGTGTGGGGGAGGTACGTGAGGCATTACGTAAAATGAAAGGGGGTAAAGCAGCTGGAACTGATGGGATCATGACAGAAATGTTAAAAGCAGGGGGGGATATAGTGTTGGAGTGGTTGGTACTTTTGTTTAATAAATGTATGAAAGAGGGGAAGGTACCTAGGGATTGGCAGAGAGCATGTATAGTCCCTTTATATAAAGGGAAAGGGACAAAAGAGACTGTAAAAATTATAGAGGAATAAGCTTACTGAGTATACCAGGAAAAGTGTACGGTAGGGTTATAAATGAAAGAATTAGAGGTAAGACAGAATGTAGGATTGCGGATGAGCAAGGAGGTTTTAGAGTGGGTAGGGGATGTGTAGATCAGGTGTTTACATTGAAGCATATATGTGAACAGTATTTAGATAAAGATAGGGAAGTTTTTATTGCATTTATGGATTTAGAAAAGGCATATGATAGAGTGGATAGAGGAGCAATGTGGCAGATGTTGCAAGTATATGGAATAGGTGGTAAGTTATTAAATGCTGTAAAGAGTTTTTATTGAGGATAGTGAGGCTCAGGTTAGGGTGTGTAGAAGAGAGGGAGACTACTTCCCGGTAAAAGTAGGTCTTAGACAGGGATGTGTAATGTCACCATGGTTGTTTAATATATTTATAGATGGGGTTGTAAAGGAAGTAAATGCTAGGGTGTTTGGGAGAGGGGTGGGATTAAATTATGGGGAATCAAATTCAAAATGGGAATTGACACAGTTACTTTTTGCTGATGATACTGTGCTTATGGGAGATTCTAAAGAAAAATTGCAAAGGTTAGTGGATGAGTTTGGGAATGTGTGTAAAGGTAGAAAGTTGAAAGTGAACATAGAAAAGAGTAAGGTGATGAGGGTGTCAAATGATTTAGATAAAGAAAAATTGGATATCAAATTGGGGAGGAGGAGTATGGAAGAAGTGAATGTTTTCAGATACTTGGGAGTTGACGTGTCGGCGGATGGATTTATGAAGGATGAGGTTAATCATAGAATTGATGAGGGAAAAAGGTGAGTGGTGCGTTGAGGTATATGTGGAGTCAAAAAACGTTATCTATGGAGGCAAAGAAGGGAATGTATGAAAGTATAGTAGTACCAACACTCTTATATGGGTGTGAAGCTTGGGTGGTAAATGCAGCAGCGAGGAGACGGTTGGAGGCAGCGGAGATGTCCTGTTTAAGGGCAATGTGTGGTGTAAATATTATGCAGAAAATTCGGAGTGTGGAAATTAGGAGAAGGTGTGGAGTTAATAAAAGTATTAGTCAGAGGGCAGAAGAGGGTTGTTGAGGTGGTTTGGTCATTTAGAGAGAATGGATCACAGTAGAATGACATGGAAAGCATATAAATCTATAGGGGAAGGAAGGCGGGGTAGGGTCGTCCTCGAAAGGGTTGGAGAGAGGGGGTAAAGGAGGTTTTGTGGGTAAGGGCTTGGACTTCCAGCAAGCGTGCGTGAGCGTGTTAGATAGGAGTGAATGGAGACGAATGGTACTTGGGACCTGACGATCTGTTGGAGTGTGAGCAGGGTAATATTTAGTGAAGGGATTCAGGGAAACCGGTTATTTTCATATAGTCGGACTTGAGTCCTGGAAATGGGAAGTACAATGCCTGCACTTTAAAGGAGGGGTTTGGGATATTGGCAGTTTGGAGGGATATGTTGTGTATCTTTATATGTTTATGCTTCTAGACTGTTGTATTCTGAGCACCTCTGCAAAAACAGTGATAATGTGCGAGTGTGGTGAAAGTGTTGAATGATGATGAAAGTATTTTCTTTTTGGGGATTTTCTTTCTTTTTTGGGTCACCCTGCCTCGGTGGGAGACGGCCGACTTGTTGAAAAAAAAAAAAAAAAAAAAAAATTTGACTTAGGATATTTTCGACTTAGGATATTTTCAACTTTGGTATTTTCAACTTATGATTGGGTTGTCAGAACATGACCCCCATCATTAGTCGAGGAGCACCTGTAGTTCATACGACAAGGATCAAATGTAACTTAACATTTTTTTCCCCTTCAGGTAACAATGGCTCTAGTTGCTGTTATGGCTGTAATTCTGTATCGTATGTCTGTGTTAGCAGCTCTCAGTATCCATGGAGATTCCGTCATAACCTCTCATGCAATCATCTTTACCTCCACTACAGCAGCCTTCATCAACTTAATTTGCATCATGATTTTCAATCAGGTTAGTAGAGAATAAAACTGCAAAATAGAGTGACTAACATACACAGATAACCCGCACATAGGAGACAGAAACTTATGTTTTGGTCAGTAACTATTGGTCCAAGTCGGACTGAAGGGTCATCATGAATTTCATTTTCCGATGTGCAGGTTATGTATAAGTACGTCCTCGATTTTGCAAATGCATTGAGAAATTTTTGTATTGTGTATATCATTATTATACATAATACAGAAGGTCCCAACATGTTCGTAAGTTGAAGACTTCCTGTATTTTGAATTTTATGGAAATAAATGGTAAAAAATACTGACAGTGGAAATATAAACACATGAGCAGTATAATGTAATCCTTTATTGACAACGTTTTGCCCACACAGTGGGCTTTATCAGATCTGATCTGTTTGTTACTTCATTAAGCACACTGTGTGGGCAAAACGTTATCAATAAAGGATTACATTATACTGCTTATGTATTTATAATATTTCCATGAATTTTATACACAATTCAGTAGGTCCCCAATGTGTTTGTAAGTCAAGGACTGAATGTATGTTACTAAACACACAAATTATTCTTGAAACTTCTTAACTAGTTTTCGATCTAAAAGATTGGTGAAGAACAGTACGTTTGAGAACATAATTACAGCCTTACTTGGTTAATACGGTGCTCACTTCAGAGTGCTTTGCTAATACTACATCACTTTTCAGTTACTACAGTGGAACCTCGGCGCTCGAACTTAATTGGTTCCATAAGGCTGTTCGAGTGGTGATCTGTTCAAGTACAGAACGAATTTTTCCCAACCAATTTTTTTGGGGGCTGGCTGTTAATCACTAACCCTCTTAGGCCCTATGGTGACTTATGTATACAAATAATATAAAAAAAAAATGCGAAAACACAAAGTGGTTTACAGCCGAGTTCTGGCAAGTCGTGTTTGTTTGGTCGAGTGCCAAGTAAACGGTTGACTATCGAGTAATTTGTTTACCGAACAAAGCATTCAGATACTGAATTGTTCAAGTACTGAGGTGCCACTGTATATTCATGGTTATTACAGTGTTTGCCTTGCTCTTGAAATGATTTTCGGTAATTTTCAAATCTTTGTTATTTATTTTTATATCGTTTATTTTAGGTCTGGTGCTGTTGCATACTTGATAAATGATAGTATATACATGTTTTTAGGCCTTTAATTCATTGACAAGTGATTCACTTTAGATATTCACTTGAGGATAGCAGTCTAGAACTTGCCATATTAGTGAGGTATTATTGTATCACTAATTATTATTTCTGTTATGGTGTTATTCTATTTTATTCCATTTTGTTCTCCTCACTTATTAGATCTATGCCAGAGTGGCAGAGTATCTCACAGAGCTGGAACTTCAGCGGACCCAAACGGAATTTGATGACTCTCTAACACTGAAGATTTACATGCTGCAGTTTATCAACTATTATTCGTCCATATTCTACATAGCATTCTTCAAGGGCAAGATGGTGGGCTACCCTGGCGACTACAACAGAATATTCGACTCACGACAAGAGGAGGTTTGTACTCAAGAGTTACTCTCGCCTTTCCTATGCACCTCTATATAGTACAGTTTTTCATAGATGTGATCAAAAAATGTAAAGGAGGACCCCGTTCATACAGCTCTAAATATGACTCTGGTCATCCTTCCCTTACACAATATTTTATGAAAATGATGATAATGGAAGAGCAGCGGCAAAAATCACCGAACATAATGAACAATGGGTCAAAAGCCAACAAAAATGTGGAACACCAGAAATTGGTGCTGTGTAAACGGGGCCCTGGTGTTATTAATGAGGTTAATACTGGGTTAATTAAAGAGGTTAATGCTGGAGTTATTGGGGTTATTAGTACGTTCAGAATTAGTGTATGGAAAGTCCTTCATAGTGCATGCTGTTCAGTTTTCAATGCACTTTTCAAGCTGCACTTATGAAAAACTGCACAATATAGGGAACCTCTATAAAAAGAGGCGACTACTGCAAGCTGCAAGATTTCATTGTGACGTGAGGGTAGTGCCAGGTTAATGTGATGCACAAAGGCGCACTTGCCCCAGGGACCTGAGGTATGATGGACTCCTAAGTCACCTTTTTCCATACCAAAAAAAAAAAAAAAATTAACCAAACCCTGAGAATGCTTAATTAATTAATTGTTTTGTACGTGTAAGCATACGTTAGTTCCTTAGGCAGTTTTATTGAGGAATAATATGCATGAGTGGATTATAAATTTTCACTACGTTGCACATGTGTTGTCCCTACCTGCACTTAATTCGGCACTGTCTGGCAGGTGTTTTGTTGCATGTGTTCATTCTGTCAGTTGAGACAGTGAACCACAGTTGTTGTCTCTTACACAGAGAATAAATTAATTGCATTTTTTAAATATTATACTGTGTTAAAAATATTAAACAGCATTTTGTTAAGTGATACATAAAATAAAGCCTTAATACGAGACCATGACATATTGGAGCCTGACCTCATGAGACCATGTTCGTTTCTTTTAATAAATTGACTTGTGAAAAAATGCCTTGGTGAAAATGGGAAGTGAAGCTCCGAGTTCTTTCATGTGTTTACACACACATCTTTAGAGGAACTGGGAAGAAGAGGCAAGAGAAGCACATATGTTAAACCTTGGGGTGACACCTCAGGGTTTGTGAGAGGTGTTGTCACTTTCTCTTAGGTGTCACCTCTCTGTTTAACATTTAAAATATGCTTCTCTTGCCTCTTTTTATTCCTTTGAAGATGTTTGTAAGCACATGAAAGCTATCAGGTTTTATTTCCTGTTTTCAATGGTATTTTTTTTTTTCATATTTGCAATCACTTGCAGACAGCCACAATATTTATTTTGTATTGTGTACATTCACCTTCATCTCCATAGTTCCCATTTTCTGACTATCAGGAAATATTTATTAGGTTTGGAGTGACATCTAAACTGTCGTGTCCGAGCTCCTCTGTAAAGACAGTGATTGTGAATGATAGTGAAAGTGTTGAATGACGGTGAAAGTGTTTTTCGTTTTTTGGGTCACTCCGCCTTGGTGGGAAATGGCCGATGTGTTGAAAAGAAAATTATAATGTAGGCATGTGATCATGTGGGACTGTGAGGGGAAGGTCGCTGATCTCCAGAGCTTCATTATGTAACTATTGTGGTGATAAATGGAACACACTTGTGGTTTCTTCAGTCTATTGCAGAGAAAGGAGGAAGATGAGGAGTTGAAGGTAATCAGTCCCATAGCCTGGAGTTGTGTTCAGCCCATCAGGATTGATGGACTGAACACATTGCCTTTAGGCTGAGGGACTGATTACCGTATTTCGTGGCTTATAAGGCGCTGATGCATTAGTTGTATCCCAGTATAGAAGGTAATAACCAGAAAAAAAAAAAAAGTTAAGTGCCTAATACTAAGTAACATTTACTCCACTGAAACCTATGTTAATTTTACATACAGAAATAAGGTTTTGTTTGATTTATGGGTAGGCCAAAACATATGATAGGCCTAGTGTTCACCTGGACACCCCAATGATCTCTCAGTTTGAACTGGTGAAACAATCACTGGTGGCTCTGGTGGCTGAGTTGCTGCCGTGTGTGCAACTCTGTATAGTGAGGGCCCCAGAGTGCATTCTAATGCATCTTTGTCATTGATTATCAGTATAAACAAAAATGGCTGCTTCAGCCATTTTGGGCCACTGTATTTGCCTGGCAATATTTGACACTATAAGTACCATAATACATGGTAAATATGATTACAGGTACCTACTAATAAAGTGAAAATACCCAGTATGTGCTAACAATAGCGTAGTATATGGAGGCATTATTTTAAAGTGCCTACCATGAATGACGCTGCTTTGTGACTTTGGTAGTTTAAGAAATAAGAAAGGAAAGTGTTACATAAGGAGGAATTTCATTTTCTGTCAGTATCTCAGTATAGTATTCGTGTTTCATTAATAGTTTGTCTCAAAACGTTATTAATTTATTGTAATTTTGAAACGCTGGATATGTTATAGTTTCAGTGGCTCAGCATCAGACGTAACTAGGAGAGCTACGGCCTACCCCACACCCCAAACTTATAGCTCCTGTCACTGGCCTTCAATTTATAGGACGCAGGCTGGTTTTTGGAGACATTATGGGAAAAAATGCATCTAACAAGCTGTGAAATACGTACCTCTCATTCCTCATCTTCCGTCTCTCTCTATATTGGACAGAAGAAGCTACCAGTTGGTAAAACGTTTCCAGAATAAAGATATCTAAGTGTTGCACAAGTATCTCATTTATCAACTTGTCTGTTTCCTAAACCATTTATTCAGAAAGTTGTTGTTGAGATATTAAGATGTCATTATCATTAGGCTCACAAATAGCTATCATTGGGTCCTGTAATGTTTAACGAAATACGGTTAATTCATTAAGAAACTGAAGAATGACTTTGGACTTGAACCATGATCCTGGCAGTAGCAAATCCAGTACTATACCACTAAGTCTCAAAGCTTACAATATGAAAATTTTAAAAAATACTTTAAGTTGCTTGTAAAAGTTTCCTATTGTAATCTTCATGGCTCAATGGTAGTGTTAGGTCTGCTGCTACCAGCACCACGGTTCAAGCCACCATCCATTCTTCTGTTTACAGTAAGTCCTTGACTTACAAACACATTGGGGACCTCCTGAATTGTGTATAATAATGATATAATACCTATGTAGTAGGTTGGTAGACAGCAACCACCCAGGGAGATACTACCATCCTGCCAAGTGAGTGTAAAACTGCAGCCTGTAATTGTTTTACATGATGGTAGGATTGCTGCTGTCTTTTTTTTGTCTCATAAACATGCAAGATTTAAGATACATCTTGCTACTTCTACTCACACTTAGGTCACACTACACATACATGTACAAACATATATACACACACCCCTCTGGGTTTTCATCTATTTTCTTACTAGTTCTTGTTTATTTCCTCTTATCTCCATGGGGAAGTGGAACAGAATTCTTCCTCCATAAGCCATGCGTGTAGCAAGAGGTGACTAACATGCAGGGAGCAAGGGGCTAGTAACCCTTTCTCCTGTATACATTTCTGATGTTATAAATAGAAACTTTCTTTTTTTGGGGAGGAGGCCACCCTACCTGGTTTGTTGAAAGAAAAACTATATAATAATGATATTATACACAATACGGAAGATTCTCAACGTGTTTGTCGAGGATTTGTTGTACTCATCGACAGTTGTTCATTTAGACTTGTCTTGAGGCTAATTTTCATTAGTGTTTTCTAAAATAGCATACAAGTACAGCATATAGAAAAATTAAACACATCAGTGTAAAATAACCCATCTTATGAGGACAGTTTTGAATGTGTATCAGTAGAGAGCATGGAAATATAGAGGAGACTAACACCAACAGTGTTCACCTGGTGGCTGCTTGCTGGAACTATCAGTGCAGCTGGCTATCATCATGGTAGGCAAGCAAGCCATGAACACTTGCATGGAGATGGTCATCCCCTTACTGTGGAAGTGGTACAACATGCTTACCGTCCCAGAACAACAGAGAGAAGCCTACAACCGCTGGCCACGCTGGGCCAAAGATTTCCGCCTGGTCAACTTTGATCCTCGTGGACTCTTTCCAGAGTACTTGGAGATGGGTGAGTACTCGAGCCATTGCATTACTTCCTTATTTACATGTGCAGGATGGCCCCGCATATACAGCACTTCTTTTCAGCATTCCATATTTTCGTTAGCTTTCAGTTCGGCCATTGCTCCACCTGACGAAAATCGCTGGCAGAACATAGTGAACAGTGGCTCGGTTGAAAGCCAATGAAAACGTGCAACACCAAAAAGAGGTGCTATATATACAGGGTTCTCCTATACTCTGCTATATATACAGGACCCTCCTGTACTTCTTTGCATCCTACTCAGTGGCTTTTTACACTGTAATGTGCTAAGCTTTTATTAATATTTGTACCACTCAGAATTAAATACAAATTTTCTGTAGCATGTCGCAAGACCATTAGTGACAAGCACATTGGTGGCAGTACTTATTGTATGTTTGTCATTACGTGTTTGGAGTGACAGTAGCAGAGGTACGCTCATGTTTTGTTTTCGTTGTTTAGTTATATAATTTTGTATAGTTTCCAGTGGTTGTAGCACATAATTCTTTCTGTAGCATTCAGGTACAGTAGGTCAAGACTTACTATCTTAAGTAAATAGAAACAGATACGAATACTATTCGCGAATAGTATGACATTTTATTGTGGCAACATTTCAGTCTCCAGGAACTTTGTCAAGCTGTCATTATGGAAATAAATGGTATAAAATACCGACACAATGGAAATATAAACACAAATGCAGTATAATGTGATCCTTTATTGACAACGTTTCACCCACACAGTGGGCTTTTTCAAGTCACACACGGATCTTGAAAAAGCCCACTGTGTGGGTGAAACGTTGTCAATAAAGGATCACATTATACTGCATTTGTGTTTATATTTCCAAGCTGTCATTACTTGACAAAGTTCCTGGAAAACATAACTTTGCTACAATAAAATGTCACGGTTGCATCTGTGTCTGTTACCTAACATTTTTGTTGAGAATTTTATTAAGACTTGCCATACTGAGTATTTATGACATTGACATTTTGGAATCAGTTAATTCTGTGTGAATGATGTGCCATATCTGCAGATTATTATTATTAGTAATTATTATTATCGTGGGGAGCACTAAACCCATAGGGATTATACAGTTCCTATGGGGGGGGTGGATGGAAGGTATTCAGGCTTAATTCAGGGAACTGGAGCACAGATCAAATTCCCTAGATCAAGAGCCCTCACCAGCATTAAGGAACCTCCCTTGAGGGGCCATGTATGCAGAGGAACAAACTGTGTCACGTCCCAATTTGTGCATTTTTTCTTCAGATTAACATTCACTGAAATTTTAGGCCTAAGCCGAGTTGTTTGGGTTAGTGGGCACCTTCTCACTCTTGTCTGGATTACATTGGCTTCAATAAAAGAGGTTTCTTGGTAGGAATTGGAGATGGCATCCCATGTTGTTTCTGAAGACGATGTTTTATGGTTGTTCATGATACTTCTTCTTTCAACAAATCAGCCATATCCCACCGAGGCGGGGTGGCCCAAAAGGAAAAACAAAAATTTCTCCTTTTCCATATACAGTGGACCCCCGGTTAACGAACTTTTTTCATTCCAGTAGTATGTTCAGGTGCCAGTACTGACCGAATTTGTTCCCATAAGGAATATTGTGAATTAGATTAGTCCATTTCAGACCCCCAAACATACACGTACAAACGCACTTACATAAATACACTTACATAATTGGTCGCATTTGGAGGTGATCGTTAAGCGGGGGTCCACTGTAGTAATATATACCATATAAGGGGTTACTAGCCCTACAATATCATAACACAGTTGCAAACAAATCATGGAACAGTAGCCCCTGGCCTGGTGGCAAAAGCTCTTGCTTCAAACGGTGAGTGTCTGGGTTCGATTCCTGGTGAGGGTTGAAACATTGGACATATTTCCTTGCACCGGTTGTCTATGTTCACCCATCAGTAAAATGGGTACCTGGGTGTTAGTCGACTGGTGTGGGTCACATCCTGGGACAAAACTGACCTAATTTGTGGGAAATGCTTTGCATAACAAGCGGCTTTCTATATAGTAGTATGTCTGTATACCTTGTACATGTACTTGTAGAAATATAGATATTATTTATTATGGAACAAGCAGGGTTTGAACCCATGGTAAGTTACTTCTAAAATTCAGAGGTCAGTGTGTTAACTACTTAACCAGCTGGCTCTGATAAGAATGAATCTTGTTAGAACTAGCTGGTCCAGTGCTTAATGCACTGACCTGTGAGTTTTAGGACTCTCACTGGTTTTAGACCCCACCTGTTCCATGATTTACATGAGGATGGTTTTATTTACTCCGGCTACTGTTATCCGAGGATCTTTTTAATGCTTCCCTTTTTATAAGGTTGTCAACAGCAGGTGAGGTCACTTTAGTCTGTCCACTTCTTAGTTTCATAGAAAAATGATGTTGGGGTAGATCACAGGAGGCAGCGACGAGACAGTTAACCCTTTCAGGGTTTTGGCCGTACCAGTACGGCTTACGCACCAGGGTTTTTCACGTACTAGTACGCCTAAATTCTAGCTCCCTCGAATCTAGTGAGAGAAAACTGGTAGGCCTACATATGAAAGAATGGGTCTCTGTGGTCAGTGTGCGCGGTATAAAAAAAAATCCTGCAGCACACACTGCGTAAAAAGAAAAAAAAAACTGAGTGTTTTTGGATTAAAACAGCGACTTTGCACTGTATTTTTGTATGGTATTTATTGTTGTATTCTAGTTTTCCTGGTCTCATTTTATAGAATGGGAGACATGTTACAGAAATTGAGATGATTTTGACTGGTTTTACAATGAAAAGTACCTTGAAATTGAGCTCAAAGTAGCAGAAATGTTCGATTTTTAGCAAAGTTCAAAAGTAAACAAATCATGCTAAGCGTCCAGTATACGTCAACTGGTGAGTCTAATATTCTTTTACAAGTGTGCTAATATTATTTATACCATTTCTACACTAATGCAGTAGTCTGCATAACAGTAAATCTTCTATATTTTTGTGAGAATAAAAATTCAAAGTGGAAAGCAAAAGATGTGACTAATGAACAGAGGAAATGTTATTTTAGTGCCAGGAATGTCTTTCTTGTTTATTCTGGACCCCTTAAGTTCCCCCGTCTTCTAATAACGTTCATTTTCCCACTATAATCTTCCTTGTCCCTATTTGGAAATTGGCATCTTTTGAAATTTGTGTGAAATTGGCAAAATTGCTAAATTCTGACCCCTGTATTGGATAGTTGAAATTGGTAAATGGGTGGTTTCTTGTACTCATTCAATAGAAAAAATGGAGTTTTAGCCAAATAGTTATGATTTTTGTCAATAAGTACACTGGAACTGGCCGAAAATAGGGCTCAAAGTGGGCAAAATCGCTGGTGTGCAAACATCATTGAGATCGAGATCACTAACTTCGCGAGAGCATAATTCCTTAAGTTTTCCATCAAATTTCATACTTTTGGTGTCATTATGATCGGGAAAAGATTCTCTTATCTTTTCTTAAGAAAAAATAATTTTTTTTTTTTTTTTGAAATTTGGCCGACCCTGAGAACAAGGCTGAGAGGGCCTGGTGACCCTGAAAGGGTTAATAATGGATTTCCTACAACTAGTGTTTATAAAATGGTAATAATCATAACCATAATATTTACATGATGGTAGGATTACTGGTGTCTTTTTTCTGTCTCATAAACACACAAGATTTCAGGTATGTCTTGCTACTTCTACTCACACTTAGGTCACACTACACATGCATGTACAAGCATATATATACACATCCCTCTGGGTTTTCTTCTATTTTCTTTCTAGTTCTTGTTTATTTCCTCTTATCTCCATGGGGAAGTGGAACAGAATTCTTCCTCCATAAGCCATGCGTGTTGTGGGAGGCGACTAAAATGCCAGGAGCAAGGGGCTAGTAACCCCTTCTCCTGTATAAATTACTAAATTTAAAAAGAGAAACTTTCGTTTTTCTTTTTGGGCCACCCTGCCTTGGTGGGATACGGCCGGTTTGTTGAAAAAAAAAAAACACACACACAAGATTTCAGGTATGTCTTGCTACTTCTACTCACACTTAGGTCACACTACACATGCATGTACAAGCATACACATACACATACACATCCCTCAGGATTTTCTTCTATTTTCTTACTAGTTCTTGTTTATTTTCTCTTATCTCCATGGGAAAGTGGAACAGAATTCTTTCTCCATAAGCCATGCGTATTGTAAGAGGCGACTAACATGCCAGGAGCAAGGGGCTAGTAACCCCTTCTCCTGTATCCATTACTAAAGTTTAACCCTTTCAGGGTCCCCAGGCCCTCTCCCAGACTTGTTCTCAGGGCCCCCAAATTAAAAAAAAAATATTTTTTCTTATGAAAAGATAGAGAATCTTTTCCCGATCATAATGACACCAAAAGTATGAAATTTGATGGAAAACTTACAGAATTATGCTCTCGCGAAGTTAGCAGTCTCGACCATGTTTATGCATCGTTGATTTCGCCCACTTTGAGCCCTATTTTCGGCCAATTCCAATGTACTGGTCAACAAAAATCGTAACTATTTTGCTATAACTCCATTTTTTCTATCGAATGAGTACAAGAAACCACCCATTTACCGATTTCAACTATCCAATAAAGTGGTCAGAATTTAGCAATTTTGCCAATTTCACACAAATTTCAGAAGATGCCAATTTCCAAATTGGGTCCAGAATAAACAAGAAAGACATTCCTGGCACTAAAATAACAAGTTCTCTGTTCATTAGTCACATCCCCAGGCCCCTCTTATATTTCTTTGGCTTTCCACTTTGAATTTTTATTCTTACAAAATATAGAAGATTTACTGTTATGCAGACTACTGCATTAGTGTAGAAATGGTATAAATAATATCAGCGCACTTGTGAAAGAATATTAGACTCGCCAGTTGACGTATATTGGACGCTTGGCATGATTTGTTTACTTTTGAACTTTGGTAAAAATCGAACATTTCTGCTTCTTTGAGCTCAATTTCAAGGTACTTTTCATCGTAAAACCAGTCAA